GCTCCCCACATGCACGAATGCTGATACCACACGAGTGTGAGACAAAGGCACACACTTAGAGACAAAAACATGTGCCAAGTACTACAAATACAAGGATGAAACAATCTGTATGATCTCACCCGCCTTAAGCCTCTCTTATGTTCCTCAGTAATTGAATGAATGTTGAAACGATCTGCATGACCTCACTCCTCAGGATGCAATAGGGGGAAGGATTAGTGACTCTTTTCACCTGAAACTTCCCTAAGTAACACAGGAATTTGTTCTGAAACACAGTTGAATTAAAATTTGTATGATAGTTCCTCTTTGTGGCGATTCCCATCCACAAACGATAAAATGAGGGAGACATCGATGACTACTGACAAGTCAAAAGGTGATTCGGCCACCCATAAAAATAATCACGTTCAGTAGTTAGTACAAAAGCATCTGGACTGACAGCACATCTTCAACTCTCACGAAACTCAAAGAGCACAACTACACATTCAACGAAGGAGGCAACATCTGCCCCCTCACAGGGCGCAACTTCCTCACTCATGGGAAAAAGAGGAGCACAACGGAGGGGTCTCCCCTTCCAAAGCAAATACAGTACCCGGTCAAGGCCCCTCTGGGCACAACTGGCTACTCATCGAACGCCATGGTACCACAATGGAACTCAACCAGGGGAGTGGCGTCCGACGAACAAAGGGACGCACAATGTGACTGCCCCCCGCCTACCCCATCCAGGGGTGTAGCGTCAGGCGTCTGTGGGGAAGAACGACACCACGGCTACCCCTCCGCCCATCTCGGATGGCAGCCACAACACCGTGGGGAACGCATCAGACCAAGGTCACAGGGTCACACAATCATGGGCAACAAAACTCAAACAATCGCAGGCAAGATCTACCGTAGATATGGAGAGCAGGAATCCGAAGCATCCCTCTCCCAACTCGTCGCTGAAATCGTTGCCGACTCCAGTGCACCACCAGTCAAATACTGACCCCCTTGCCCTGTCTGCAATCCACCCGATGTGAAGCCACTTCATCCAAAAGTTGTTCGTGCAAACTGAAAAGATGCACCAGGAAATTGACGGGTATATCCTCCCCCTCTGCAGCTTTCCTCCACAAGCGGTGGTGACTAGGAATACCATATATTCCCAACACGCAGTCCAATTCCACTTTCAGGAAACACAGACCACAATAACGGTGAATGGCGGAATTCAGTGGGTGGCGGCCGTCCTGTCCACCTTCAAATTCACATCACAAGACGTGGTAGACCATTTCCTCATTGATTATGCTGGCCTGACCGCCATAACGGTCATCGCCCTCTACCTGGGGGATCACGCTCACCTGTTGGGATTAAAAAATCTACATTTCAAGGGCCAGTCAGTGCAGATTACCAGATGGAGGCCAGGGGAACCGTTCACAGTGGATGATAGTAGGCAACAAATCATGACTTCTGGGTTGAATTCCGCTATGCCCCGCTGGCAATCCAAGAGGCCATCATCCAAGACCTCAACTCTCTGGCCCCAGTCAAAGGGTTTGTCCATGAACTGTCAGCATTTCTGGAGAAGAGGGAAGATACCCTCTTAGTGGCGGTGGAATGGGACCAGTCAAAGGTCTTTCCCCTATATGAACTACATTTACGGGGGGAAATGTGTATCAGTGCCTATCAGCCATAGCCAAGACCTAGGAAACACCCGCGGACCCATCCACGGGGTCGAGCTCGGAGGGCGGCTGTATTCATGTCCGTGACTGCGGCTGGCCTCGGCCGCACCGCGGACATGAATTTACCAGATTTTTCCTAAATAAACTAATGGGTAAAAATAAAATAAAAAAATATGGGGTTGTAGGAATTTTTAAGCCCTACACCCCCCTAATTTTTTTTTTGGAAACAGATAATTTTATAGAATTATAAAAAATAAAAAATAGAAAAGGTGGAGAAGAGAAATCGATAAATAAATTTTAAAAAAAGTTTTTTTGGGGGGGGTGATTTCTGCTTGGCAGTTCTTTGTATTCTTCGCTTTTACATATTTTTTGTTTTTTTTTTGGTTGTGTAATAAGGAAACAATCAAGGAATGGAAAAAAAAAAAAAAAGTATTTTTTTTGGGGGGGGGCTATGTGTGTGTGTGTGTGTGTGTGTGTGTGTGTGTGTGTGTGTGAGAGAGAGAGAGAGAGAGAGAGACAGAGAGAGAGAGAGTTTTCCATCGATAGGATGAGCAAAACCGAATGAATAGTCAGCTAGAACATCGAAATATACACTACTACACGCGCGCGCGTGTATGTGTGTGTGTGTGTTTGTGTGTGTGCGAACGCGCGTGGTGGGTGGCGGGGGGGTGGGGCGACCCCTCTCCCACCAATCAATCAATCAATCAATCAAACAACGAAAAAAAAAAAAGCAAAATCGAAT